AGATGACATGATGTGAATTGGCGCAATAGAAATAAACTGAATAGAATTGAAATTAAATGGAATACCTTAAATTTATTTTGAATTTAATTTAATTTGTAAGTGTTTAATAACTTGAAATTCAGTGTTTTTGATGAACGAGCAGAGCTGGTTTAATCATACGAAAATAATGCAGAATATGTAAGGTTTATAAGTTTTTTTTTTAAAGAATTTTTCGGCGTTAGATAAGTAAAAGTGAAGACCTTTATGCAACACTAGCTGGTGAATGAATTAACTGTCATGTTAACAATAAGCTGCTACTAATTATTCTTTTTTTTATCCATCATGATCATCAGTTGCTGGAGAACAGTTATTTCTTCTATTTATTCCTTGCTTGTTTATTGTTAGAAACCTCTTGCCATACTCATTTCATATTTATTCCATTCTGTGTATCGTGATTTATTCTCTTAGATGAGTGTTAGTCTTCCTTCTGTGTTAATAAGCCTCCTTCCTGTCAGCTGCCCTCTGCAGCTGTTCACCAGTCTTCCCTGATTAATCTTACCTGATCATAATATTCTCCTCAACCTCACAGGTTTTCATTCTTCAATGCTAGTCTGTTTCACGTCCTGCTCTCTCTGTCATATTCCTGTGAATTCTCCTTGTTTTTTTATTATCCAAACTCTGCTCATTCCTGCCAATTCTAGTCTCTGCGTTTTTGACTATTTAGGCATCACTGGCTCCTCTGATCAGATCTAAATCGTGGTTGATTGGAAGTTCAAAATCTCTGTTTACATGGAAACGAAATAAAATGATCTGATCATGACGTGTGTATAAATGTACCAAGCTCTGTCATGATCGGCTGTGATAGCTGGCCTTAATTACTCATGCAGTTCACCTGCTTGACTCTTTCCAGCTCCTAATTATCACTCATCTCATCCACCTGCCAGGTGCCCTTATATTGGGCTCAGTTCCAGCTATCAGGGCCAGATCTTTAGGTTTTGTTTTATGTTCAGTTCTGTTGATTCCAAGGTTCATGTCCTGGATCCTGGCAGCTAGTGGAAAGAGGCTTTTGTGTCTGTCTCGTCTCCTGTTTCTCTCCTGCTGAGTCCTCTGGGTTTTTTGGCTCTATACGCGGGGAGGATCAGTTTTTTTTTTGTCCCAGTAAGCCTGACTCCAAGGTGGAGACCAGTTTAAAGTTTCCGGCATCAAGTTCTAGTTCCACGTCCTGTCTCTGCTACCCTCTTCCACTGAGCCTGCCCGTCTGCACCTGATCCTGTCTGCTCCTGGTCACGCTTCCAGACTCAGTCGGACTCTGAACCTGCCTGGGAGCTCTAGGATTCCTGGATCCCGTCTCATCTGTCAGTTCCTGCCAGTTCTGTTTCCCTGGCCTCAATGGGCTTCCTGTTAATCCTCTGGAGCTGCAGAACCGGGGACACGCTGGGTGACGCTTGTCGTGTCAGCAGTCAGCCCATCGGCTGGATCGCACCCCCTTCATGGGTGATGGACTGAACTGTTAAACCAGGTAAGTGACTCACTGAGATCTTCTTCTGTCAGGTGATTGGAGTCACTTACCTGTGTTTCTCCCACAGAGTGTCAGAGATAGGGCGGTGCCCCGCCCCCCTCCTGCAGCATCCGCGAGCCGCACATCCTAGCAGCTCCAATTTATTTTCACTTTGTTGATATTTTTATATTAATAAACGTTTTGAACTTTCCCACTGACTGTCTCGCCTAGAGTACTGGGTCCTCTGTCCCATTTTATGACAGCTTCATTCTGTTTTTTTCTTGTCATAGTAGTTTTTTTTTTTTTTTTCCTGTTAGGCAGTGATACCATCCTGGGGGAAACATAGCTGGGCTGCTGCCATCAACAACTTTCATCACAGATAATACAGTTTCCTCTATTTTTCAGTGTTTAGTGCTGTTTCTTTCTGAAACATTATGGACTAATTTTTCACTAACTGGATGTTCTCTCTTTCATCCCTTTGACATAAAAACAGAGTTTGTCTCAGAGTTCATCTGCTGTACTGTTTCTCTCCTAGACAGAACTGTTGCCGCTCTAAAATAGAAAGTATTTTTGGATCAGTTCTGTTTTTTCCTGCCCAAACTTAATACATTTTTTTTTTAATTTATAATTTATTTATTATGTATGATTACGAATGATGTTGGTTTAAAAAAACTATCTTTGAAACAATTTTATAGTGGAAGATTTTTTTTTATCTAATGGCACATTTTAGATTAAATTACTGTAACATTCTGAGTGTGATTTTAAAGTTTTAATGTTTTTAGAACCTTGAAAGGTTGATAAAGGGAATCTGAATGCAGCCTTTTGAAGTTTTTAGCAAAAAACATGTGATCCATTAAATCAGATGGGAAGAGCAGCAAACATTGTGTTAGAACTCTGAACGGTATTATTATGATCTATGAGCAAGAAATAAGCAACAATCTGATATGTTTAAGGTGTTTCCTAGCAATCTCCTAACTGTGATTGGCTGCATGGATTCTTTTATTGCTGTTGTAATCTACCTGTTAAACATGGATTTAAAGTGCTGAGAAATGACTAAGGAGCTCTAAAGGTTTTGTTTAAAGGACAATATTTCTAAAAGCAAAAGGAAACTACAGGAAAAAAACACTAATGTTATTAAAGCATTGGAAGACCAGCGACTAAATCAACAAATATCACAGCTGTAAGCTAAGAGCGTCAAACACAGATATACCAAATATGGGCTGGACCAGCGACAGCAGGGAAAGACCTTGAACAAAAGAGAAAACATCCATGTCTTCTAAAGCAGAGAGTCTCAGATAAACTAAAGGTTCTAGGAATCTTATGCCTTACCCTGCATAACAGAAACCCAAGCCACAACTTTAGCAGTCACTGTTTGAGACACACAAGATATCATTTAAATGTAAAATGACAAGTTTCTTCCATCTTAACGCAAAAAAAAACAAACAAAAAAAACAGTTTTATGCATAAATCAGCTCCTTAGATAATCTACCAATGTCATGATCTTGGCACTGATGGCTGGACTTAGCTCATCAGATCCACCTGTTCCTGCTTTCTTTTTAAGCTGCCTGTTCCCAGCCATCAGTGCTAGATCATTCGAGCTGAATGTGAGGGTTTTCTAGCCTAGCTGTGAGTTTCTGATTACCGTATCCCAACTAGTTTCAGTCCCTGGTCTTCTGGGTGTTGGTCACCGCTGTTCTGCTCTGTTGCCTGATCTGTTTCCGGACTGTTACCTGGATCCTGCCTGTTTACGACCTTGAATCTGTCTTCTGACCCCGGATTGGAAACTCCTTCGGTACCTCTTCAGATTTCTGATTTTCTGGCCTGGAAACCTGCTCCTGCTTCAACTCTGGCTTTTAAATTTATCCCAACGGATTCTTCTGCCCTTCTGCATGCTCTGGCTTCTGCTTGCCGTTGCTCTACAATCCCTCTGGACTCCACTCCTTCTTCTGAGCTCAGACTGAACTTAAACCAGGTTAGTGACTCACATGCTCATTATCGTTTACGGTCTGAGGTCTGTAGTCACTAACCTGAGTTCACCTCTCTACAGAGAATCCAATAGACCTGCCCCAGCTGACGAGCAGCCGCACACTGATCTTTTAATAAACGCTTGTTTTGAAATCACCCTGACCTGCTTGCTTTAATTCTGGGTCTTAAATCGTTTTCATAGACTCATAAAGGCAGTTAGTTAATAAGTCAGCGTTTTATCAACTAAAGAATATCTCCAGAATTAAAGGACTAATGTCCAAGCAGGATCTAGTAAACGCATTCATGCATTTATCTTTAGTAGAATTGATCGCTGCAACATTGTGTTCATAGGTTTGTCTAAAAAGGCCATCAGACAGCTGCTGCCTGTGTCCTCACTAAGACTAAGAAAACAGAACACATCAGCCGGTTCTGAAGTCCTTCTACTGGCTCCTTGTATCTCAGAGAATAGACTTTAAAATCCTTCTATTAGTCTAGAAATGACAGAATAGATCAGCAACTCAATCCATAACAGACCTGTTGTCAGTGGATCTACCTCCCAGACCACTCAGGTCTTCTAGTTCCAGCCTACTCTGTCCACCCAAAACATGGAGAAGCAGCATCTATGCTGCACTGATCTGGAACAAACTGGAAAGGAGCTGAAAGCCTGAGTTCTTTGAAGCCAGAGTTAAAACCCATTTGTTTAGAGCTGCCTTTGACTGTTGGAGTTAAATTTAAGGCTGTTTTTATTTCTGTTACTAACCACTCTTACCATGTTTTTAATCTTTATTTGCTTTTATTCTGCTTTTATTTTCCTTTTATTTTATGTAAAGCACTTTGAATTGTCCCTGTACTGAACTGTGCCCCAAATAATCTTTCCTTCCCTTACCCGAAAATAAAAAAGAAATTGTTGTCCACTTTTACAAATGAGTACAAGTAGTTATATTTTTGTATTTGAGGGCTAAAGTTGGACTATTTTTAATTCAATGCTCTTTAAAATAAAACACTAATAACTATAGATATTGGCTTTAGACTGTTGTACTGTCTGTTAATCTTGGGAAGGTGGCTTATTATTTATTATTATTAGCATATTTTAAGAGTCTGTAATACTTTATGAAACACTCTCCTTTTTAAGCTGCAGTAAGACAAGTGTTGTTTTTGACCAATCAGCTGTGATTCCATTAAAATATGAGGATATGTTTAAAAATTCAAAGAAAATGTGAATTTGACCTGTTCCCATTCATTAGACTGAATTATCCAGGCAACGCTGACCTTAATGATGTCAAAGGATGGAATTATGCTTGGCTGGAAAATACAGGTAGTAGCTTTAGTGGGCTAGCATGGACCACAGATAATTCACTGATGGAGGTTTTAATGAGGAAGAGACGTTTTCCAGAGCGCAGCTCTATGACCAGTGGATAGAAAATTGTGTGCGTGGTGAGATCCCCAGCATGATCCCAAGCGTGCCTGGAAGGAGCTGGTGCGCGTGGAAAGTGATTTTCTGCTCTCGAAGAGGAAGTTTCTCGCGCATTTATGATTTTGTTGTGCGATGGTAGATAAATCATGCGCAGAAGTAGCTTAACATACTAGTGAGTATCTTTATTTTGCTCACAGGCTTTGAAATGTGACGCAATAAAAAAAGATATGTGGATATATATATGTATGTATGTATGTATGTATATATACATATATATATATATGTATGTATATATATATGTATATATGTATGTGTATGTATACATGTATGTATATGTATGTATGTATGTATGTATGTATGTATGTATGTATGTATGTATGTATGTATGTATG